AGGGACCAGCAAGGTGCGGCGCGCTGCCGCACAGCAGCAGCAGGGCCGAGCGGCGGCCCCCCCATGCGCTGGCGGGGCAGGCCAGGCCGTGGCACAGACCCCTTTGCTGGCCGACAGCGTTGCACGCGCTGCGTATGCATTGGTTCTGTGCGCTGCAAGCCAAAGGCCCGATGCGAGCGCCTGAGCCCTTGAGTGCCCCGCGGCCTGCCTGCCTGCCGGACCGCGCTGCAGGGCAGCAGCACCAGCAGGGCGGCGGGCGGGGGCGCGGGCCCGGCGGCGGCGGCGGCGGCGGCGGCGGCGGCGCGCCCGCCATCAGCGCTGCGGGGCGGCAGCTGCTGCAGGAGCTGATGCAGGAGGGGCTGGGGGACCACATCCTGCTGCTGCGCCTGTACGAGGTGGGTGGTGGTGGGTGGTTGGTGGTGTGCTGGGCTGGTGGTGGTGGCGGTGGTGGCGGTGTTGGTGGGATGCGGCGGTGGGATGGCAAGGTGGGGCACAGCGTGTGGTGGTTGAGGCGGGTGCACAGTTCGGGAGGGCTTGCAGGCATGCTGAGCGCCGCCGCCTTCACACCCCATGCCTGACCTCAGCACCTCTGCCTGCGGCTCCTCTGCCACCTCCCTGCCCGCCCGCCCCTGCTGCCGCAGGCATGGGACCAAGCGGGTCAGTCGATAGACTGGTGCCGCGACATTGGGGTGGATGGGCGCAGCATGCGCTTTGCCCGCGACATACGGCAGCAGCTGGAAAGAATCATCGGCCCTGACGGCGCCGGGCTGGAGGCTGGCGGCGCCAGGCGGCGGCAGCACGACGCGCAGCCGCCGGCGGGCGCGGGGCAGCAGCAGGGCGGCGGCGGCGGCGAGGGGCGGCCATGGGACGGCGCGCGGGACGTGGGGCGGGGCGAGCGGGCGGGGGCAGGCGGCGGCGGGCGGCGTGAGTATGGCAGGGACGGCAGGGATGGCAGGGACAGCAAGCGGGAGAGGGAGCGGGAGGGCGGCGAGGGGCTGCCGCGCGGCGGCAAGCGGCCGCGCCGCGGCTTCAGCGACGCCGCCACCGTCACCTCCCTACGCATGGCTCTCACCATAGGTACAGGCTGCTTGCTGGCGGTTGCTGGCGCGGGCTTGCCGCCTTGCCGCCTGCCCCACCCCGCCTGCCGCTGTGCGTGCTGCACATCACAGCCTCAGACACATCACAGCCTCTCTCGCACAATGCCCTAATCGCACTCCACCCCTCCGGCTGATTTCCTTCCTTCGGGCGGGACAGTTGGACATAGTGCTGCGCATGCTGCCGGCAGGTTTGCTCCCCTGCCTCGACACTCTCGCAGCCGCTGCGTCAGGCGGCCGCCCTGCCGAGCGCTGCCCGACCGCCCCTGGCCCCTCCCCCGCCCGCAGGCTTTGCCAACCGCCTGGCCCGCCGCATGCCCATGCACAATGGGTACCGCACGCTGGGGCAGTCGTCCACGCTGGCGCAGGTAAGCAGGGAGGGAGGGAGGGAGGGAGGGAGGCCGGGGGGGGTTGCGGTGGGGTGGGTGTGCTGGCAGGGGGGCTAGGGGGGCGGAAGCGGA